GAGGCCTCCGGCTCACCCAGCGGAGGCCCCTCGGCGCGCTGCGGCCCCCCGCCTGGCGTGCGCGGGCCAGTGAGCCCCGTCTCCTGTCTGCAGAGGCCGGAGGGTGCCAGGCGCAGCTCTGCAGAAACGGAGGGTCCTGCAGGGGCCCCCCGGGGGCCTTCGCCTGCCAGTGCCGGGAGGGCTTCACCGGCACCCACTGCGAGACAGGTCGGCTGGGTGCAGGCCCACCCCACACCCGGGTGCCCGCAGCCGCGGGGCAGGGGGCCGGGGCGGCTCCGGGCCGGGGCTCTGCCCTTCCTCCCGCTGTCCTCTCCTCCCTCCCCCAGACCCCTTGCGGCTCGGGCCGACTCTCGGGGTGTTCTCCAGAGGTGGACGCCTGCGACCCCAGCCCCTGCCAGCACGGAGGCCGGTGTGAGAGCGGCGGCGGGGGTGCCTACCTGTGCGTGTGCCCAGAGAGCTTCTTTGGCGCCCACTGTGAGACGGGTAGGGCCCGCCGCGCCCCGCGGCACCCGCCGCCCGCGCCCCACCACGACCAGCCCATTGGTGCCGCCCAGCTGGACACGCACGTGGGTGCGGACTGCTGATTTGCAGTCCGCAGCTGGACTGGCCCCTGGGCAGCGAAGTCCCGGCGCTGAGGCGGTGGGGTGTGCTCCGAATGGGCGGCACCATGGAGCAGTCGCGGGGCTGCCGGGGGCTCCGGTTGCCTGCAGGTGACCCCCGCAGCTGAGGCGCCCCGCCAGCACCCAGCTCCAGCGGAGGGAGGTCGGGGCAGCCACCTTGGCCATCAGGCTACCGGCGGGCACCAGACAGGGCCAGCCCTGAGCTCACCCACCAAGATGGGCCGTTCCCAGGGCCGAAGGCGACCCCCGCCAGACCCTCGGGGGCTCCCCCGCCTCCGCGCCAGGCTACAGCCCCAGAACAGGGCCCTGCTGCGGCAGCCGGCCGGGCTCAGGGCTGCTCTCCCCCCAGTGACAGACCCCTGCTTCTCCAGCCCCTGCGGGGGACGCGGCTACTGCCAAGCCAGCAACGGGTCCCACAGCTGCACCTGCAAGGTGGGGTACACTGGGCAGGACTGCGCCAGAGGTGAGACGTGGCCCCAGGCCGGTGCGAGGCGGGGTCCGGCCCGGGCATGCTCTCCGTGGGGCGCGGCCAGAGGCGGGGGAGGTGCGCCGGCCGCTGCCTGCAGGGCCCCACCCCACACTGCCCCCCCTGGTCCCCACAACCCGCAGAGCTGTTTCCGCCGACGGCCCTGCGGGTGGAGCGGGTGGAGGAGAGCGGGGTCTCCATCTCCTGGCGCCCGCCCGAAGGGCCGGCGGCCAGGCAGCTGCTGGACGGCTACGCGGTCACCTACGCCGCCGCGGACGGCGCCCTCCGCCGCACGGACTTCGTGGACCGCGGCCGCTCCTCGCACCAGCTGCGCGCCCTGGCGGCCGGCCGCGCCTACAACATCTCGGTCTTCTCGGTCAAGCGCCGCGCGCACAAGAACGACATCAGCCGGCCCGCGGTGCTGCTGGCCCGCACGCGTGAGTCCGTCGGCCGCCAGGCAGGGGCG